AAAAGAAATCCAGTTTTAACAGAGGGACCACAAGCTGCGAGCAGTACTCAAGATGTGGCAACACATATGTTTTGTACAGGCGCAGTAATACGGAAGGATCTGAACACTGAGTATTTCTCATTATCACGAATAATGCACTAACGCTCTTGACAAACGTATTCGATATGTAGAGAAAATTTCGTATGAAAGATCACTCCGAGATCCTTAGCACATTGAGATTTTGGCAGGGTGACACCATCAACAACGTACTCAGTTACGGGAGCGTCCCCGAAATGCATGACCAGACACTTGTTCAGATTAAGAGGAATATCCAAAGAGTCGCCCATTCACTCATTTTCATTACTGACAGCCTGAGCGCTTGCTTTATAATCTCACTGTTCCTATTGTCATAGGTGGCATATATTTTGATATCATCTACGTATATTTGCACCTGAACATCACAATGTGTTTTGAGTAACTGAGGCAGCTCAATGGGGTAAATCAAGAAAAGCAGAGGAGATAACACCCCCCTTGGGGAACCCCACTGGTGCAAGCAAAATATCCAGAATAGCTGGTCCCCACTCGACTATCTGCTCTCCTGCCATTGAGATATGATGACAGCCAGGTAAGCGTCTTGCCACGGATCTAGTTTGGCAAACAGTTTTGTGTGGCAGACCTTATCGAAGGCCTTCGAAAGATCAAAATGGATGACATCTACAGATTTCCCGCAGTTGATGGCCTTTGCAGTGCTCATAAGAAGAGTGTCATAGGTGTGGTGGCAGTAGAAGCCCAGGTAGGAATCGTGCTGTTCAGCTGCATGAGTGAATTTTCCAACACGCCAGTATTCTTATGTAATGATGCTTCTCGATTTGACCGTTAGGGCGGCGTAGAGTGAAGGCTAATGGGCCTAAAATCACTAACTCTGTTAGATCCTACGCTTTTGGGAACAGCCGTTATAATTGCCTTTCTCCAAAGCTGTGGAATGTTCCCTAAAAGATATGATATGTTAAAGAGGTGAGCAAGGGGCTCACACAAGGAGGTGCTGCATTTCCTAAAAACATTTGTGGGATACCATCAATTGGCTCACTCGCGGAAGGTTTCAAATTTTTCACACGGAGCGAACGCAGCTGTGTGAAATCAACATCTGGAAAACTACATCGTAGGCCTCTTGGGCACAGCACTTAGCTGATTGAGAGGAAGGAAACCACTAGCGAAATACGAGCTTCAGCCTTCGCAGAACTGGTGTAGAGCTTAGAGCCAGCCTGATCTTCTAAAGTGGGTAAGGAGGTCTTAGGTCTAAATTTGTTGCGGAGGTAAAGATGGCGTTTCAGTGAGTTTTGAGACCCAAGGCGGCACTCGAAATTAGCAAGGAACTTCTTCAGATGCGATCAATGTCGCGAGCACACTTTTCTGCTAGAGAGGGTGCACTTTAAAGGTTTATCCAGCGTGTGAAATAGACGCTCTTTCTGGTTCAGCAAATTTCTGATATGCAAGGGGTATATAACAGGACGAAGCCCAGGAAGTCTCATCGGAACGTATATTTTGAACGCATTGTAAAGAACACTACAGAACCTTTTATAGATTTCGTCGCTAGAGCTGTACTGATCAAAGGCATTGTACCAGTCCACATTTAAGAGATGCTCATTAAAGGCAACAGTTCGCTCAGACGCACTTAAAGGCAGCGGTTACGCTAGGTTTAAATGTGGTTTGGAGGGGACGAGGGGGTCCTCAATAGTACATCAGTGGCGAAAAAAGCAAAGAAATCCGTCAAAAATAAGCAAAATAGTGCCCCTTTGATTGCCCTTTCATTTTCGATCATGGATGAGCGACGGTAAAGACTGAGGTTGTTCGGACGTGTTAACCCCGATAGCTGCCATCATGCCAACAAGCATAGTGTTTCGATTGATAAGGCATAACATGGGCAAGATGGAAGATACAGCCGCTAGATGGGAAAAGATCATCCAAAATGAAAAGCCAACAGCAATCAGTCCATCCAGATCATCAACAAAACCAGTGGGCGGGGCGGCGCATGGGGCGGAAGGGCGCAATGGTCCTGCTCAGCAACCACAGCACTGTTCGCAGTGGAAGCGCCACACATCGCTTCCTTGGCGGCCTGCTAATTGCTCTGTGGGGAGCAGGTTCTCCGCAGATGTGAAAATTCCTTTCCGTACCTACTTCCTTTAATGAGCCTTTACGGTGGCTAGAAGCGCTAGGTACGCAAGTGTAGGGGTCGCGTCACTTCCCTACTTCGAAAAGCGTTATTTAGACGCTAGGCGCTAAGAACTTTGACACGCTCCACCTGCTGCGACACGCTCCGCCCACCGCTCGATATCTTGTCTGCGTCGCAATGTTGATCTGCTATGCTCTCTCTACTCGACTTCTAGCGCTCTCCACATTATCTCTCATCTCCCTGCCGGCCTTTTGAACTTCTCCGCACGTAGAGCAAAAGGCTCGTATTTCCTGTGCATTTCACGATTTTTTTTCTCTTTTCTCACTGGCGGTCCACTACCTACCCCTACTTTCACATTTGAGTGGAATTAACTCATAATTCAATCCTGAATCTTGCCTTTAAGGCCTTTGTAGTCAACACAAGAAAAATCCGGTAGAGGGACGGTATATTTTGATTCAATTTCCCCTAACAGTGTGAATCGAACAGAGGCATGATCAGAGGTGGCAGCGGAGACGAAATAGAGACATCACGTATTTTGGGAACCGCAGACAAGCCTAAATCGAGAGCTGAGTCATGAGTGGGCTGTGAGACGTATTGTTGAAAGTGACCCTCTTGGAAGAAATCCAGAAAAGGTGCTGAGGTTGCATTGAGGGAACACATTCCTCCAGTCAATAGATAGGTTGAAGTCTCCTAGAATTAAATTGTTGGTCTGCGTAGAGACAATGTCACGGAGTAAGTCAATAAGTTTTAATAGTATTCTTCGAATCAAACGCCACTCACAGCACCGTGGCAGTTTCTAGTGTTCTGAAACCAATCGGTAAATTCCTACTCCGCCCGAATTTTCTCTTCAAAGCTGTCGTCTAGAGGGAGTGGTGGGGAAGGGATCGGTATGTGTGAAAATGGTTCATATCTCGGAAGCCAATATGGTTTCATTGTTCACGTACTTTCCTCGTATTTTAAGATCTCCTTACACACTGTTCCACTTGTTCGTGGGAGGGGATGGTGAGCGGGAGGTGTTGATATGTGTAGAAAAACAGCAAGTGCTCTAATTTTACCTATTTCACGCCTCTTTACAAATTTTCCACAAAATTGGCGCAATTCCATCAGAAACATCCCTCTCTTTCAAAACACGATCTCCTTATTTTCTCGACTCCCTTCAAACTAAGTCAACTTATGTCAATCCCAAATAATGACACGACCCCACTCCCAAAAGTCACAGATACGATTCCCTGTCTGGTTCGGCCAGACGCACGATTGACTGTGGCTCCTCCATTCACTATCGGATCGAT